GTGGTGGGTGGTTGGTGCCCACCGGGGGCTGCCTTTGGGTCCCTGTCCCCTTTCTGCAACCCACTCCCCTCCCTTTCGCCTCCCAGTTCAACGAGAAGGCGAAGCCGGTGTCGTGCTTCAAGCACCTGGTGCAGGCCAACATCCGGAACAAGAAGGTCTTCAAGGAGGACGTGCAGGGGATGGTGGCCAAGGGCACAACCGACTACAAGGCTGGCTTTGAGTACGCCTTCGACCAGCTGCAGAATGTGAGCTGGGGGCCGGGCTGTGGGCTGCAGTGGGGGGCAGAGTGCACCCATGGGTGCTGGGGGCGATGGCAGAGCTCCAAGCACCTGGCTGCTGCCCCGTGCCTAGGGCTTTGGCGTGCAGAGGGCTCCTTGTCCTCCTTTGCAATGCCAGGGGGGACATCCCACCCCCCCGCACACTGTAGCCAAGGTTTTGCTGGAGCTGCTGCCCCTCTGGGTTATTAAAAGTTAGCAAGGCTGGGCAGAGGGGGATGGATCCAGCCAGACAGCGTGCCAGAGGCAAAATAAAGATGAATGGTGCTATTAGGTGCCGAGCGGCAATAGCCACAACATCATTTCCAAGCAGACAGCATCCCTCCTCCTGCCTGTTCACCCTGACCACCCTCGCCCTGGAGAAACAGGCCAGGAAAAGAGATGGGTTGGGGCCAGCCCTCCTGGCCGCATTCAGACCCACGCCCAGCGCCGCTCGCTCTGGATCCGGGCTCAGGCGCCATCTCTCTGCCCCACAGTCCAACATCACGCGTGCCAACTGCAACAAGATGATCATGATGTTCACGGACGGTGGCGAGGACAGGGTGCAGGACGTCTTTGAGAAGTACAACTGGCCCAATAAGACGGTGAGGGGCTGTGGGGCCGTGTGCCAGGCTGGGGCCGCTCGCCGGGGAGGGAGACGGCTGCTGCAGCTCTATTGCCGGCTTCCGCCTCATTTGCCATGAGCAATGTCGCCATCCTCTCTCCCCGACAGCCTGCTCCTGCGCCGAGATGCTGCCCTGGTAATGGGGCAGCTGACACACCGGTGCCATTTATAGCTGGCTCCCACCTTGGCGTGTGGGAGGCACGGGGCCAGGCGGGGATGGGGCTGGCGGGCCCCCCCCGAGAGCCTGCCCTGGGAGGAGCACACCCCAGGCATGGGGGACAGGGCTGCTCGCAGGCAGGAGGGTCCCCATCGCCATCCAGCTCCCCAGGACCTGGAGGCCCATGAGGCAGGGGGATCCTGGGCCATGCAGGACCCTTGGAGAGCACAGACCCCCTTCCTGTGCAGCAATGCCCCAGTGCAAGGACCTCCGGTCCCGCCTGGGTAGGTGGCTTCAGCTGATGGGGGACAGGACTGGCCGGCTCCAGGCAGGCAGAGAGGGGCTCCCTTCCTGCCTGCCAGCACAGCCAGCGTTTGCAGGAGCTGCCTTCTGCCTTCCTGTGCTTGGCCAGGGGCAGCACGGTCTGCGTGGCAGAGGGTGATGCCACACTGTCCCCAGGGAGGTTGCCATTAGCCGGGAGCACCCGAGTGTGGGAGACCAGGGTGCCCGGCGGACGGTTCCTCACCGCTGTGCTCTGCTGCAGGTGCGGGTCTTCACGTTCTCCGTCGGGCAGCACAACTATGACGTGACCCCGCTGCAGTGGATGGCCTGTGCCAACAAAGGTGAGCGGAGCTGGCACCCGGCTGGCACGGGAGGCTGCGGGGTACTGGGCTCGCCCCTTGCACGGGGGCTGGCACCAGTGCTCCGGTGCACGCTGCTGCTGGCAAGGCCCTGGCTGCAAGCCTGGAGGGCTGGACAGCAGGACGGACAGCAGGACAGCCAGACTGCTGGACAGGCAGACAGCCGGCTTTCCAGCTGCCTTTCTCTTTCTTTTCCAAGGTTACTACTTCGAAATCCCCTCCATCGGCGATCCGCATCACAACACGCAGGTATGGCAGGGGGGCGGGCGGGCGGGGGGCGGGGGGGGGGGGC